GAAGAAACCACATAAATAATAATGTGTTTTAATAGAACAATTATTTTTTTTATTTTTTTTATTTTTATTTTTTTTTTCAAAAGTGTTTTATTTTTATTTTTTTTATTTTTATTTTTAATACAAAACAAATAATAATAATAAAAGTTTAGTAAATAATGTTTTTTAATTATTTCATACATTAAAAATAATAACAACACAAAAACAACATATTTTCATTTCTCAATAAAATATTAATTTTTATATTTTTTTTATTTTCCACATTTTACATTTAAAAAAATTAATTTATTTTTAAATATATTTATTTTATTTATTTATTTATTTATTTATTTTAGTTTCAGATTTTATTAAAGTTCGATGTAAATATTAAATTGGTTTTTGTGTTTTTATTTTTATTTTTTTTTTTATTTTGTTGTTGTATTCGGTTTTTGTTGGTTTTTTTTCATTTTTAAATCTACATTATAGATTTTTCATTCGACATTATAGATCGAGTTCAAATATACACACAATTTCAATGTTTGTTGTTTTTAATTTTAATTAAATTAAAAATTTAAATAATATAATATAATTCTATTTTAAGAAATATTGTCTTAATTAAAATAAAAAAAAATAATTTAATTTAATTTAAAATTAAATTAATAAACAATAATTAAAAAAAATAAAATATAATTACAACTCATCATTTTTTTTTTATTTTATTTTTTTAAATTTTTATTTTTCCAATGCCATAGCACCAAAGGATAGCACCTAATAATAATAATAATAATAATAATAATAATAATAATAATAATAATAATAATAATAAAAAATATAATAAATTTTATTATTATCAGACAATAACAATAAAAATATAACAATATTATAGTAACACACAGCAGAAACAATCTTAAATATTTTTAAAATAATTATTATTTTAATTTTTTAATTATTTTAAAATTTAAAAATTAAATTTTAATTTACTATGTGTTTTTAAAAGTAAATTTCTTATAATATTAGTAATAGTATTATTAAAAATAAAATAATAATAAAAAGAATAATAAAAAATAATTTATAAAAAAAAAATTTAAAATTAAAATTTAATTTTCTTTTTTTTTTTTTATAGTTTTTTTAAAACTTACTTAAATAGTAATAACACACCACACACATACCTTTTTTTAAATATAAATAAATTCCTAAAAATTAGTACTCTTTTTATTTCCTTTTTAAAATTGTTTATTGATTTCTATTATATATTGTGTGTAAATTGTTTTCACTATTATTTTTTTTTTTTTTTTTTTTTTTTTAAATTATTATACACATTGCTACTTCATACAACCACACATATAAAACACACATATAATAAAAACCCCCCCAAAACACAAAAACAGTTTTTCGATAAAATAAATCAACAAATTATTAAATAAGTAACAATATCAGTTATATAATTAAAAAAAAAAAAAGATAATGCTGGATGTAGTAGCTTATAAATAATAATAATAATAAAAGTATATATATCTAAAGATATTACTTTACATTTTAAATAAACACCCATGTTTTCATTACCAAATAACTATTATTCTAAAAATCTATTTTTATTACTATATTTTAAAAAAGTAAAAACTTTATTATCTATATTAAAAAAAAAAACAATTATATTTTGGTTCTATATAAAATTATCATCTTTTTATTTTTTATTTTATTTTATTTTTTCTATTTTGTTTAATATAAATAAATTCAAGAAAATATTTTAAAAAAAACCAACTCTTTATTAATTTAAATATTATTTTTTAGAGAATAGAATAGTAGTAAGAAGTTAGCTAGAAGTAGTAATATTTAGAGTAATAATAAATAAACCATTTTTTACAACATTTAATTTAAAGAAAATAATTTACAATATCCAATATATATATAAGTTTTATAATGTCAGAAGTAGAGCAACAACAACAACAAAAAGAAAAAGAAAAAGAAAAAGAAAAATTTAGTTTAAGAAATATTTTTAGACATAAAAAAGAAGATTCAGATGGTTCTAGTAAAAGAAAATCAAAGAATTTATCAAATAGAAGATCACAAAGTTTAGAAAATATCGATATTCCAATTGATAGTAATCCAAGTTCACCAAAAACAACAGCAAATATTGATACAACTACTTATAGTGCACCAAGTTCACATCCATCATCAAGTGATGGTAGTCTTGCCAGAGGAATCTCTTTAGAACGTAGTAATAGTAGTAATAGTGTAGCAAGTGCTCCAACTCCATCACCATTATCTGCACCATCATCAGCCACACCAACACCAGTTTTATTAAGTGCTACACCAGTTGACGTTGTTTCACCAGTCAGCATTACCTCCGCTACTACCGAAACCGATACTGCTACTACAACTACCACAACTACTTCAACTCCATCCTCACCATCAACTCCATCCTCATCATCAACTACTCCACCATCAACCATCCAAGTTATCGATAATTCTGTTCCAAATAGCGTAGCTACTGAAGTTCAAGTCATTGGTAGTAATAAATCTTCACCACAAGGAGCCGACTCATTATTAGATACAAACAACAGAAGAAGTTGGTCCGAACAATTAGATAGCGATAAAGAAAATTTTGTTAACGATTTAAATGAAACCTCAGTACTTTCACATCCATCATTCTGCGAACCATCACGTGTAAAGAGAATCAGAGTCCAAAATGTTACAATTATTTATAATCCAATGAGTGGTAGTAAAATTGGTGAAAAGATTATGCACGAAGCCAAGAAATATTTTGAAGTACATGGTATTAAAGTTCATGTCATTCCAACCGAATATAAAGGCCACGCTGAAGTTCTTTGCCGTACTTTGGATGTTGAAGGTGTCGATGTTATTTGTTTAGTTGGTGGTGACGGTACAATCCACGAAGCTGTTAATGGTATTATGAAAAGAGATCCAGAATCAAGAGAACGTTTTGTTATGGCCTGTCTTCCAGCCGGTACTGGTAATTCATTTGTTTTAGAACTCCAAGGTAAACTTTCAATTAAACATGTTTGTGAACGTGTTGTTAACGGTTTAACAGTTCCAATCGATATTGCTAAAGTTACAATCGTTGGTAAAAATAAAATCTCTGCAGAGTGCAATAAAAGAAGATTAGAATACGATACATTAAAAAAGAAATTTGCTCATGTCAATTTAGATTCACCAACTCTTTCCTCCTCTCAAGAAGCCGGTAGACGTTCAATTCAAGCATATAGACAAATTCGTCCAGATGCCTTAATGGAGTATGGTTCAAATTTACATAATCAATCAAACGACGATGAATCAACTGACGACTCTTCACCAGAACCAATTTATTGTTTCAATTCTCTTCATTGGGGTTTGGGTTCAAAAGTTAATATCACTGCCGAAAAGATGAGATGGATGGGTAAGGCTGTTCGTTATACAACTGCTGCTCTTCTTGAGCTTTGCAGAGGTGAAAAGATCTTAGCTCGTATCGAATACGAAGATGCCAATGGTGAAATTACAGCTTTAGAAGATGAATTTTGTTTAGCCATCGTCAATAATATTCAAGGTGCCGCTAAAGGTATGAAAATGGCACCAAAAGCTAAACTCAATGACGGTCTTATCGATTTAATCCTCATCAAATCACATAAAACTTTCGATTTAATGAGTGTTTTCACCAAAGTTTACGATGGTACCCACACCGAATTAGATTATGTAATTTATAAACAAGTAAAGAGATTCAGTATCACTCCATTCAAAAAAGATAAAGAAAGAAAGAAGAGATTAAGAAAAGAAAAGAAAAGAATCAAGGCTGCTATTAAGGCTGGTCGTGAACATGCTAAAAATCCATTAGAAATTTTAAAAACCGAATGCAATACAATTTTATCCGAATTAGAAGATCAAATCGATGAAGAAATTATTGATATCGATGGTGAATTAAAAGGTCAAACTCCATTCGTTTGCGAAATGATCCCAAGATCTGTTAGGGTTGTAGTATAATTTTTTTATAATAATAATATATATAAACTTATTGAAGAAATATATAAAAAAAGAAAAAATAATTTTTTTTTTTTTTTAATTATTTCTCCATATCTTTTTTTTTTTCTAAAAATTTTAAAAAAAAAATAACAAAAAAAAAAAATAACAAACTATTAAAAAATAATAGAATCAATAATAATAATAATATAAAAAATAATAATATTTGATATCAAATTAATTATTCAAAATAATAATTAATTATTTTATAAAATATATTTTAATAAAAAACAAACTTGTAAATATTTTTTTTTAAATCCAAAAAAACTATAAATTTTCTTTATTTTTCTTTTCTTTATCCTAAAAAATTATTTTCTTAACATTTATTATAGATTCTATATTCATTAATTTATATATACACCTATTGACAAAAAAAATAAATAATTTTTTATAGCTTTAAAGAAATATTCTTTTATTTATTGTTTATTTTTTTGAATCTTTAAACTGATATCGATGTGTGGTACGCCTTGAGTTAAATTACCCATTGAAATGATATCAATAGTGCTGATTGCATATTGTTGAATGGTTTGTACTGTAATACCTCCACTGGCTTCAATTTTAATATGTGGATAGTGTTGTTTTAAGTATGTGCTAACTGTATTTAAATTTTGTGGGTTAAAGTTATCTAGCATTACAATATCGGCACCTGCTTCGATGGCTTCGATGGCTTCATCTTGATTTCTACATTCAACTTCGATTTTTAAAGAGAACCCACCAACGGAATGTGCATTCTTAACAGCTTGTGTAATGTTACCGCATGCCCAAATATGATTATCTTTTAACATAATCATACTGGATAAGTCCATTCTATGTGTATCTAAACCTGCTACTAGTAATGCTAATTTCTCTACTAATCTAAATCCTGGAGTTGTCTTTCTAGTACCTGCAACTTTACCTTTCCAATCAACATTATCTACTAATTTTTTTATAGCGCTTGCTTGGGTGGTTACAGCACACGATCTTGATAATATGTTCAATGACAAACGTTCACCTATTAATATATTTCTACATGGACCTTCAACAATTGCTAACAATTGTGGTTTACCATCGGCCATAGTAAATGGTTCACCATCTTTAATGAACCATTTAACACTACATCCTAATTGTCTAAATATTTCATCAAAGAAGACCTTGCCTGAGAATACACCAGTTTGCTTACCTAATAAATGTGCAGTCTTTATATCGCTTCCAACAATAACACCGCCATAGTCAAATGATGGTATATCTTCTTCTAACCATTCTTTAATTAATTTTTCAATTTTATTATTTGGTATTAATAATGATAGTTCCATAGTTTATGTTATATATATTTATTTATTAATTAATAGTTTTAAGAAAAAAAAAATAAAAAAATAAAAAAAAAAATAAAATATTAATTTAAAAATTTTTTAAATTTAAAAAATTAAAAAATAATTAAAAAATAATTTTTTGAAAAGATATTTAAATCATATCGTGTGTGAATGATTGTGGTGATAATTCTAATTCATAAATATTTTTCATATTCAATTTAATAGATTTTCCTTTTTTTATATATAAAGGAAAATTCTTTATTTTTTTCCATTATGGACGGAGAACTCGAAAGATTTTTTTTTTTTTTTTAATATTTTATATTTTATATTTTTTATTTTTTATTTTTATTTTTTATTATTTTCACATTTTTTTTATAATTTATTTTACGTTATATTAGTAATAATTATTTCTATTCATAAATATATGTAAAGATTTGTTATGAATGGTTTTTTTTTATATTTCACCAATAATTTTAATTTAAATAATTTTATTTTAAAAAAATCATTCGAAACCATATTAATTATTATCTTATTTTGGTTGTATATACATATATAATTATTTCAATATAAATATACCAACTTAATATATGTTTATTTATTAAAATCTAGTTAGCATTGTTTATAAATAGAAATAGATCTAAATAAATAAATAAAACCCCAAAAAAAAAACTAATTATAGATATTTAGTATTTGGTATAACTCCTAATTTCATTTTTATTTTGCAACAAACAATGTATATATAAATATATATTTAATTGGCATTACAGTGGATACAATGTTTTCAATTATTGTACTTTTATATGTATCTGTTTTCTATTTTTTTATTTATTATTTTTTTGTGTGCTCTTATTTGATATCAATATATCATTAAAATTAAAAATAATTAAAAAATGTAAAAGATTTATTGATAACTACTAAAAATAATGCGTTTCTTTATATAAAAAACAAATAATAACAAATTATATAATAGTTTATTGTTATAATAATATGTTTTATTATAATAAATAAAAGGAGAACTCCCTTTATACTTGTACAAAACCCAACAACATTACAAAAAGACTAAAGATATTTTATTATAAACCTTATAATAATTGAGATATTTTTAAAACAATATTAATTTTGTAATTCTCTTTGTAATAAATTATAAATTTGAAAAAACATTTAAGTTTTTTACTCTTATTTTTCATTTTTATTTAAATTAATTATACATTTTTTAAAAAAAAAGAAAACTATAAATACTTGTTTCAATTTTATAAAGCATATATTATTTATATACATATTTATCAATTTAAATTTTAAATTATTAACCCCATTATTTACTTGCTAAATTTTAGAAAAAAAAATAAAGTAAACAAGTATTCATCTAACACTAAACACACATACAAAAAACCACCTCTAAAAAACTAAACACAAATATTATTTAAATTCCACACTACCACAACAACTACCACATCCATGTACTTTAAAAATATTGACATATATAGTAAAAAAATAAAATAACATAATCAGTAAATAATTATAATAATTTATATTATTTAAATAATTTTTTAATAAATATATTAGTTTTTAAATTTAAAAATATCTTTCTTTTTTTATACATCATTTGTTTTCAATTTTAATATTTAAATTATTTTTAAAAAATTTAAATAAAATCATTTAACCACCATTATATTTTTATAATCATTTACTAATATTATTTATACCCAATATATATTAGATTTTTATTTTAGATTTTACTGATTTCTATATTTGTTGTGGTTTAAAGAAAAAAAAAATTTAAAAATGAAATTTATTATATCAATTACAATACTATTGCTCCTTTTAAATTTATATAATTGTGAAGTTTGTATTAATATAATCTATTAAATCATTTTTATTTTCCAAAAAATTAATTTTTTTTTTTTAATTTGAAATTCAATTACATAATTTTAAACTATTTAGCCTTTAATTTTGACAAGAATAGGTGGATTAAATAATGAATATAGAAGTTTAGAAATTGACTCCCTCACTGGTTATTTTTTCAACCAAGCAAATCATAAAGGAAAACTTTCACCAGACGAATTAAAAGTTATTCAAAATATATTGGATAATGAGTCTTTTAAAGCTTTAAAACCAAAATATTTAAATCCAATGGATGTGATGACCTCATACAGATACACCATTTCATACCAAAAGAAAAGTGTTGGAACCACCATCGACATCACCACAGATTATCCAAAATTCCTAGACCCATTATTCACAATTTTTGAACTTTATTCATCATAAATATTTTTTATAAAAAAAAAAAAAATAATATAAAAAAATAAAACCAACAATAATTTATTTTATTAATTTATATATTTTAAATTAATTAATTAAATTATTTTAAAATTAAAAAAATAATAGTTTTTTCATTTATTATTAAAATTAATATTGATAGACTGTTCCTGGTCTTGTGCTTAAATAGTTTTGAACTCCACTATTAGACTCAAAGTGATTTTTTAATCTTTGTAAATTTGAAAATTTACTAATTTCATTACCATAACCCAAATAGACAAAATAATCATATGCAACATAAACATATACGTCTGCTAAGGTAATATTATCACCTACAATATATTTGTTTTTTGATAAAATCTGATCAAAGGCACCAAAAACACGAGGTATTTGAATTTCTATAATCTTTTCTTTGCTTATTTCCTTTAATTATTATAAAAAAAATATATTAATAATTATTATATTATTTTAATTCATTAAAAAAAAAACTTACTCCTTTTGCTGCTCTTATTGCTTGTACAACTAAATCACTATGGACCGAAGCTAATGTTTCATCAATTATAGCTTCTTCTTGTGGAGAGTTGCCAATAAAATTATTTTGTTTTGCAATAAATTTGCAAATTGCAGTTGTTTGGGTTAGTTTAAAACCATCTTCTAATAATAACATTGGTACCTGTCCAAATTTTAAATTTTCATTTCTAAATTCTTCATTTAAAATGGTATCAACATGGATATTTTCATAATCAATATTAAGATATGCAAATAAAACACGAGGAAATTGACCTAATGCTCTAACACTAAAATAATATAATTTTGGTTTTGAATTCATTTTTTATTTGCTAAATAAATGTTTAAAATTAATACAATTTTAGTTAATATGTATAGTCTTTTTAATAAGTTTAATAATTTTTTTTTAAAAAATAAATAAAAATAAATAAAAAAAAAAATTTTATTTCTATATTTTATTAATATTTCCTTTACAATTAGTAATTTACAATATTATATTTATTTTATTTTATTTTATTTTATTTTATTTTATTTTAAGAGATTACAGTTGATCCTATAGATTTTGAAATAATATTTCTATTTTTTTTTTTTTTTTATATTTACAAATAATTAATATATATATTTTATATTATTTAAAAAAAAGGTTAAAATTAATTTTCTTTTTTTTTTACGTTGTGATTCTGTAATTGGATGTTATAAATTATTTCTTTTTTTTTTTTTTTAAAAATTATTATTATTGCTATTATTTTTAAAATGATATTGGGTTGTTTTTTATAAATTCTGAAACTTCTTTATTTGATTCAAAGTGTTGTTTTAAAGCGTCCAGGTGAGGGAATTTACCATAAAAATCTTGAGCAAAGCCATCAAAGAACTTAATATAGTCATATAAAATATATAAATAAAGATCGGCAATTGTATAGTCATCACCACCGGCAATATAGGTTGATTTTGAAAGGGTTTTTTCGAAGCAAAGGAAATAGGTGCTAATTATAATTTTGATTTTTTCATTCTGTAAATTAAAAAAATAAAAAATTAATATTTAAAAAATTAACACGCATTTATAATGGCGGGTGATTATTTACAATTGTTTTTGACTTTATATTTGGTAAGACTATTTCTTCGATTATTTCTAAAATTTCTTCGATAATTTCATCGACTATTGCACTTTCTTGTAATGATTTTCCAGAGAAATTATAATTATTTGAAATGTATCTTGAAATTACAGCTGATTTTGCTAAAAAATAATCACCAGTATCTTTGATTGGGAATTGGTCGTATGACTGTAGTTTATTTAAAACCAAGTGATCAATTTCACTAATTTGGTTAATTTCGTGCTTTATACCTAAATATGATAATAATATTTTGAAAATATAAAAATTATTATAATAATTTAAATAATTATCATCATATATCATATTTGATGGTGCGTTGATATTGATTGTTGTTGTTGATGGGTGGCTACTGGTTTCTGTTAAACTTGACATTTTTCTTTTATTTTATTTTTATTATTATTATAAAATTATTTTTTTGTTTCTAAAAATAAAACTTTTATATTAATAAAAATTGTTTATGATTTGATTATTTTAAAAACAATAACAACAATAAAGAAAAATAAAAAATATTTTATTTTTAATTTTTATTTTTTTATAGAATTTAAAAATAGTAGAAGTGGGTGTTTATATTAATAATTATAATAAATAAATAAATAAATAAATAAATTTAAATAAATAATTAACTAGTTTAAAAATATAAAAATAATTGGATATTATTAAAAATGGGGGTAAGTGGTATTATGAACAAACAAAACTATATTTTATAAAATTAAATAAATATGGCACACACACTCCACACAAAAAATACACAAAACAATAACAATAAAATAATAAATAAAAATTTTTATACTATTAATAATTTTGATTAATAATATTTGATAATAAAATTATTTTTTTTATATAAGTGTGCAAAAAGTATGATATTGTGATAGTGTATAGTTTTGAGTGTGATATTATTATTTAATAATAATAATAATAAAAATAAAGTTATGTTTTGTTTTTATTTTAAAAATAAATAAATAAATAAAAAAAATAAAAAAAATAAAAAAAAAAAAAAGATTTAATTGTTTGTTTTTCTTTTGAAAACATAAATAAATTATTATACTTTTTTATTATTATAGTAATACGATTATTTAATGAAGGATTGTCAAGATAGAAAGATAGATGGGATGGATGATTATTATTTAAATTTTATAAAGAAAATAAAAAATACAATAATGATATAAGTTTTTGATTTTTTATTTTTTTTTTATTTGGATTTCATAAATATGAGTTTTATTTGTGTGTGAGTGTGAATATATGTGTTGTGGGGTGAATGAGGGTGTACATATGGAAATAAACATATTTCCTCACTCTAACACCCTATATATGTAAATTATTATTTTCAAAAGAAAATAAATATTGTTTTAATTGTAGTAATGTGGAAGAGTGTGTTATTGTTATATTTTTAAATTCTGGTTGTTATTGTTTTTTTAAAATAAAAATAAAAATAATTACATTTAGATGGTAAAAAGAATATTAAATATTTTAGTGGGTTCACAAACACTAGAATATGTAAAAAAAACAAAAATAATACCAACTATTATTTTATATGCTGAAGTAGAAAGTGGTTGTGTTTGGATTGATAGAAATTTCAGTCTTTTTCTATTAATTATTATAATTTTAAAATAATATATTATTAATATAAAAATATTATTTTAAAACACAAATAAAATTTAAAAAGATAATTATTTAAAAAAAAATATATGTGATATTTAAATGTATTTTATGATTTTTATATAAAAAAAAGTTTTTTGATTTTTTATTTTGATACTATTAGTATTAATGATAAACAATAATAATTATAAAAAAAAAATAATGAATCGATTAAATGAAATTTAA